GGGGGGAGGAGAGTGACTATGACAATCAAGTGTTTTGTCCCAGAACATGACACAATGATCCAGCCAGGTCTCCACTGCAGACCTCTCAACCCAGAGTCTCGTACACTGACCATTAGATCACTCTGTCTACTTGATACCCTATGCAGGGCTTGGCACTAACAGTAGACAACTAGTCACAGACTAGTAGAAATTCAGTTTTGGCTTACAGTTTTCGATTTCCACTAGCCAGTTTGGCTAGTAAACGAACTGAAATTGTTATAACATCTAAGTTATCACTAGCCACTTGGCTAGTAAGTTGAAAAGTTTGTGTCGGGCCTTGCTATGACAGAGGAAATAAAACATCTATCTCTAAAGAAGAGCACTTCACCTCATATTGCACCATCTTCTTCCCATCCTTCTCTATTGGCAAATAAAGTGGTCCAGACACTATGTAAACATCTGAATATCTCTTTGTTAAACTTCTGCAGTAAGCTTCTAGTCTGTACCAATAGTTAGCATTGTTATCCAGATTTTGTGGCACAATGTTTGACAAGAGGAATGTTTGATTCATTGCATCTTGATCATACTTGTTGTTACCTAAAGGGAGAAATATTTGTTAACGCTTTCACTCTCTGAATCTCTGTGGTAAGACTCCTTACTGTCTGTCATACAAGAGTTTGGTGTTAGATTAAAATATTAACTTCTACTGATAAGTTTAAGTATTCTCATTACCCGTTTGCAGGTAAATTCAATTGGTTAGAGCGCTGGATTGTGTTGTGCGGGAGGTCAAGGGTTCGAGCCCCGGCCGGACCAATACTCATTGTCAGTAACGGAGGAGAATTTGCTACCTTAATTCTATAATATCAAGAAATGGATAGATAATCTAGTCTTCTTGGATAAGGACGAATAAAACCGTAGGTCCCGTCTCCTGCAGGGTTAGGGATAGGAGACATTAATTTCCCACGTACGAGATCACTGCGTGGTGGATGTCCTCCCCTGGGATGGGTGGGTATAATTATCTGCTGAAGATGGGCTGTATTGCCCTTTGCAGATCACACATTGAGATTTAGATTTAGATTTATATGTAGATCTATGGATTCCATGAATAGCGATTTCCCCTAAGTGAAGATTATAAGGGTTAGGTTGGACAAAAGATTGTTCACTTTGATTAGAAGGGCATCCTTTGAATACTGCTGTTCTAAAAGTGTACTCACTCGCAGGAGCCATGTGTCCTCTTGACCATCCACTATCCCAGTAGTCATCATTACTTGAATGAAAAACAGCAGGAATGTTTGGATCAGGTTTAAAAGCCGAGTGTATCCTATTCGCCTCGCCTTTCACTTTATCTCGTGTCAAATGTTCCAGTACCCATCTCGGGGTCTTCTTCGCTTGATCGTAACACAAAACGTGATTTTCTATTCTTAGTTTTCTTTTAAATAGATACTGTAATAAAGAAGTGAAAACTTTGAACAGAAGTGCCAATCATTCAGACTGTGGTTGTTTGAAGCATGGTAGATGCTATATATATCCAGTGGATAAATCTATATCCGGTGGATACTTATCACAGTACATTTTGTTAAGGTTTACTGGTATCTGCTGGATAGCCATTTATCTGTTGGATAGCATCATCCAGCCTAAAAACATGAACATGTACCCTAATGTACATGCATTTTGTAGTTTGCATCTTTCCCTTTTAAAAGGATGTAATATACTTGTACTTTATAAATCAATACAAATTATAACATAGCTTGTAAATTTGTGCAGTCAAATTCAATAGCGCGAGCGTGCTTCAATTTTCCATTGTGCACACTGGTGATGTCAGCAAACAAAAATTTAATGCCTTGTGAAAAAAATTTTTCTCACGAGTGACTTCAGCATTTTTCATGAAAAAATGGGAAAAACTTCTGCGAAAAAGTTAAACTAGACATGGCAATAAGCAAACAAGCCAAATGAATGAAGATCTGCCCACTTTTTCTTTGGGAAGGGATTTTTTAACTCCCGAAAAAGAACCTAGAGGAAGGGAAAACAAAACAATCAACTGTTTCATCTTGTTTTGGAACTCTAACTTCATTTCCACACATGAATTCACCTGTCAGTTTTTGACCAGTCTGAGACAAGATCATTGAAGCATGGCGAATACTTTTCTGAAACAAAATAAACAACGCATTGAAGCGTTGGAGAGGGAATTTCTGCCCTTTATACATAAACTACAGCGTTGAGAGTGTTATAAAACGATTGGTTCATACATCAGCTGTGTGCTCATCACAGTCGAGATATGAAGCACTTGGGAAGTTTGTAGAGCACTCAAGAAGCTAGAGTTGCTCTCGACTACGCCTCAAGCAACTCTTACACATCTTTCGTGCTCTCCAAACCTCCCGCGTGCTTCATATCTTGATGAATGCACGCTGAGGTATGAACCAATTGTTGATTCAAGGCTGTGCTCTAAGGAAAATTGAATGGAGCCCTGTGCTTTGAAACTGTGAAATCCAGGGTGCCCAGAATATGCTTTTTAGGAAAAAAATAAAATTCCTGAGTCGGTTAAGAGCAAAAGTAAAGCGCCAGGGGCCACTGGGCACTGCTAGGGCACAGCCTTGAAATTAAAGGAATTAGAAGTGGATCAATAATTATCCAATAAAGAGACAAATAGAACAAGTAAGAAGGCTTACAACTGATTGTATAAATTCTTCTTGAAATATTCACAGATTAGAGCAGTACCAGAAAGGAGCTATTTACCTAGCACAGATGAAGTAACACAGCTTTTGAATAATCAGTTCACTGTGTTACAATACCTTGAGGGCCAAGTTGAGTTCTACAAAGTGAGTTTCCTGCTTTCAACCTTGATGGACATGCTGTTGTTCCTTGAATAGGTGCTTGGCACTTGCCGGTATTTAAAATTTTGGAGAAAATGAGGGGCACTTATTTGAAGGAGGTTGCTTAACTGAAGGGGGTTGATATTAAGTTACAGTAGTGCA